CAGTTATTAACTATGTGATTTTGGGGTGAGACTTTTTCTTCATTTGACAAGAAAATTTACTATTAGTAGATGTCTAAAATGTTCCAGAAACTTTCTTATGTGCATTATTGGCCTTATGCCATTTAATCCTCATAGTAACTATATGCCATCATCTCCAGTCTATAGAAGAGAAAATGCAGGCTCAAGGAGTTGTGCAATTTTCTCTAGGTCAGACATCCAATGACAACACTCAGAAGATGAACTCCATTTTACCTGCCTCCAAGGCCTGTGGAATTAACCACAGAAAAATACTGCCTCTTGAAAATTTATGAAATGACAAAAATATACATCATATATTGGTATTCTTTTAAAGATTTTATTTATTTATTTTTTTCCCCCCCAAAGCCCCAGTAGATAGTTGTATGTCATAGCTGCACATCCTTCTAGTTGCTGTATGTGGGACGTGGCCTCAGCATGGCCAGAGAAGCGGTGCGTCGGTGTGCGCCCGGGATCCGAACCCGGGCCGCCAGCAGCGGAGCACGCGCACTTAACTGCTAAGCCACGGGGCCAGCCCTGGTATTCTTTTAGAATGCATAATACATGATATAAATGTTAAGAGAGTAGGTAAGAAATCTCATATTTTTTACTTTTCAGCTGAAGTGAACTTAGAGGATAGATCAGTGTGTATAACAATTCCAAACTTAATAGCCTAAATATAATCTTTTATTTACTCTGATCCTGTGGGTCAGTGCATTTGGGCTAGGTTCAGCCGGATGGTTCTTCTGGACACGTGCATAAGAGCAGGGCAGTTCTGCTTCTGGGGATTGGCTGGCTATTCTCTAGGGGCAGAGATGAGAAGTTTTAGCTGTTGGGGGGCACTTTATTTCTTTTAAGTATTTCTTTATTTCTTTTAAATCCTTGCTCTATCGTGCCTCTGACTTGTGTCCCAATACTATTTCTCTTTCTACCAAAGAGAGGTGTGTGTGTGTTTGTGAGAGAGAGAGAGACATTGGGAGAGAGGGGGAGGCTGATATACATGTCTCTCATCATCAAGCAGGTCAGCTAAGGCTTGTTCTCATAGCACCAAGAAAGAGAGAGAGCAGAAGCATGCAAGGCCTCTGGAAGCCAAGGCTTTCAACTGTGCAACATCACTTGCACTTCATGCTATTAGCCAAAGCAAGTTACAAAGCCAACACAGAGTCAAGGGCTGGAGAAACAGACTTGATTGGAGAAGCTACGGAGTCACATTATAAAGAGGCATACTTATAGGGAGGGATGGGAAATCGTGTCCATTTTTTAATTTACTGCAGAGGAATTTTGTTTGTGAATATATTGTTTTTTGAAGGTGAGTAATTTTTTTTTTTTGTGAGGAAGACTAGCCCTGAGCTACCATCCGATGCCAGTCCTCCTCTTTTTTTTGCTGAGGAAGATTGGCCCTGGGCTAACATCTGTGCTCATCTTCCTCTACTTTATATGCGATGCGGCCACAGCATGGCTTGCCAAGCGGTGCATCGGTACACGCCCAGATCTGAACCTGCAAACCCCAGGCCACCGAAGCGGAGCACCCGCACTTAACTGGTGCGCCACGGGGCAGGCCCCAGGTGAGCAATATTTTTAAAATCCTTATACTGGGCTTTAAAAGAGTTAATTTGTTCAACTGTTATACTTTTACAAGTATGTCATTCTGACAGTCACAATGTGGCTTCATGAGATCAATACACATTTCTGGTGACGTCGTCAGTTTCTGTAGCCTTCTGTGAGCTGACTCAAGGATATAAAGGAAGCAGCATTTCAGCTGCTTCTCTGCAAGGGGTAATGTCCATACAGTCTTTTAAATCCTTGCTGCCACACAGACCAACAAAGGAAACCAAAGCTGTTTTTTCCTCCTCAGTTTTCCATCGCCTTCTTTCAAAGATCTGCTTTCTTTTTCACTTTTAACAGCAGGATCAGTGGAGTTAGTTAGCTGGAGGCGTTTTCTGTTCTCTCCTGTCTTATATAATGAAACCTGGATATTTGTCCTAGGATCTCCCCCTCTTATATTGACCAGAAAAAAATTAAAGAGACTGTGTTTCATTCATTGCTTTGTTTAGCAGTTCTCCATTGATATGCATATCTCATTGCTTTATCTTCCCACATTCTTATTTTCAAACTTATCTGACATATTCTCTAATTTCACTTCTAATCCTTTACGAATCAAAAGAAAAGTCTGAATTCTTCTAAAAGATGATCTTCTCAATGTGATTATTTCTAGATAGCTTATGTAACCTTGGACTCAAATTCATTCATTAGAACTTTGTTTTCTTATTTTGCCCCCATGAGTCCTTTGCATCATTTTTTCCTTTCCTTTTTGGTTTCTCTATAGGTTCTTCATAATGCAAATTTAATATTGTCAAACTAAAGCTTTTCATTATGGATTCCTGCCATCTGTATGAGTTATCTTTCTAGGAGTCTTGTAATTTAATGTGCATATTTCCTCCACTCGAGTTAAAGGGAGTGATTTACGTAAAGCATTTTGCATATAGTAAGATCTCCGTGAATGTTGTCTGTTGTTATAAATGTTTCTGCTACTACACTTACTATTGCTGACTTATTTTAAAGCAAACCATATCCCTTTTTCTGCCTACTGAATTTATGTTAAGCCATATAAGGAACCATCTAGACAGTATGAGAATGCCTGTTGGAATTTGAATATAAATTTTCTTTGTAAATTTTCTGGCAATTGAAATGTACTGTCACGACTAGGCACCTCCAGGGAGAAACTCAAAGGTGGGTTTGGAAGCAATTAACTGTTTTTGCAAGTTGTTTTTTCCTTTTGTACCTTACGGAGATGTAACCACCAACTATCCTGAAACTGACCAAGCCTCACCACAAGAGCTATGCCCATGACCTTTGCCTTACCTTTAATGCTAAGATCTCTCCCGGAGGAGCTGAGGCCTCATCATGTGGAAGCATGTTTTCCAACTGAGCCTGCGCAAGAGAATACAGCACCCCCCCCCCCCCGCCCGCCCCGCCTTTTGAATATTCATTCCCCATCTGAAATAAAAGTTGCCGCTTCCCCTTTTTTTGGGACACCATGACTTTGGAAATGATTCCTCATGGCTTCCTATTTGCTGCAAATACACTTTGTGAGACAACCTCCACTGGTGTAGAGTCTTATTTAACTCATCAGGAGGTGAACCCACTTGGTTCAGTAACAGTACTATCACTGTTATTTTTAGAAATGCCTCAAAAACTAGAACCACTCCTTCAGTATTTAAGCTTTACACTTTTTTGTGTGTATTAGTGGAGCAAATTTATATTTTCACAAAGCCAGGTCCATATAGCTATTCTTTTGGTTATTAGACATTTACTGTCATATTGTTAGTAAATTTCTTATAAATGTATACATACCATATTTCCTTGCATTAGTTTCCAAGATATCAGTGACCTTCCAAAGACTTTTCAGGTTTTCCCTTTAAGTATTTACTGTCACAACAGGTAGGTGTTTTCTTTAGTGAACGATTCATATTTAACTGCCCACCTTGTAGTCCTCTATATTGCTAAAACGTTCTTATTAGTAACTCACAACACTTGCTCTTTTCAAATCACAGTGTCAATATCACTATCTGTTTTTCAGAGAGACTTCCTCCTACATACAACCTGTTGTTTTACCTACTCTGTGGACTTCAATCCTATCAAACTATACCTGTGGAATAGGGTCTCTCCCCCTCTCTCTCCCCTCTCTCTTTCTTTCTTTCTAGAAATATACACACAGACACAGAAACACACACTCTATTTGGTGGTAAGGTCTGATATGGGTTGAATTTAGTCCCCATCCCACCAAAAAAAAAAAAAAAAGATTTTGCAATCCTACCCTCCAA